GCCAGTAGGAAAATTTGAATTTCCCTTCTTTCTTCCTCTGTCCCATATCATATGCCCATCTTCCACACAACTCCAACCAGCACTTAACCATGCTTGCCTCCAAGGTCCCCTGAGGGGACCTTTCTGCTGAGGAAGGATTATGACTCAAGTAACTTTTCCTTTTTCCTAGTTGGTCCCCAAACACCCAAGAATAATCCTTGGTCTCTGAGAATTTGGAGTAAAAATCAAGTCAGATTTGCGAGCTGATCCTTGAGCACATGCAGGTACGGGTGGGAGCAGAGGGTTGATTCACACTCTTGCTTAGTCTTTGGATTTCTGGAGCTTAGCATGGTGCCAGGCATATGAGAAGTTTAGTAAGTACTGGCAAGATGAAGGAAATAACATGTATAATGCAAAATGCACCCCCCCCAAATGGCATAAAAGATATGATCTCAGCCCCTAAGGGGACTCTCAGTCTGGCTGGGGATGCACTCTCACAGAGTAATGACCACAGTAGAACAATAAGATCATCAGGCCATTCGGAAGAGTTGTGGTTCAAAGGGGAGAGATCCTTGGAGGTTTGGGAGCAGTTAAGGGAGGACAGAGTAACTTAAGTTATTAAGTTGTGGGGAGAGAGAATAACTGAAGTTGGTTCTGTAAAGATAGGTTATGTTTTAGAGAAGGGATGAGTGGGGAGGGAGTTTATAGAATGAGCGTGGTGTCCTCTCAGGGTATGCGTGAAGGGAACAGTTGGAAGGTGGGGAGAAAGCATGTCTAGGAGGCTGAGATCCCACTAGTGCACAGTGAAAAACAGCACTAAAGCTCCTTCCCTTTTTCCACCACCCAAACTTCACCTTGGGCAAACTTCACCTTAGCACACCATGAGAGAGTTTTATACTGAGTGAGAGTGCTTGTGTCAGTCTTCGGGTCAGTGTTACCACAGCCTCGGGTTTGTCTGCTCCTTTAAGGGTTTCTAGTCATAAGTGACAAAATTCAGGTGTTGCTGAACCTTTTCCTTTTTTCCTTGTTATTTTGAAGCAAGAGATAATTTCCTCCATGCTAAAGGTGGGTTCTAGCTTTCTCCGGTTGTGACTTACCCCTATCTGAGTCTGCTGCCTTTTTTTCCTGTAGGGAGCCTGGCAGGACAGATGCAGGAAAGGGGGGCGCTGTTGTTTCTAACTTGCTAGCTGGGGACCTGCTCTTGGGCCAAGGGACCAACAGTGACTCTCTCCTGGATCTTCCTCCTCTTGCCTCCCAGCCTGCTCTGTCAGATTCTCCCGGGAACTGTTCTTGGGGGATAAACCATCCTGGTTGTCGGGGAAGGGCTTCTACAGAGATGCTTGTGCCCCGGTGGCCTCCTTGTTGATGGCAGCCTGGATGTTCCTGGCAGCCCGGATGCCAGACTTGATGGCTGTGTCTATCCAGCCATGGGGCAGGCAGGTGTGCTCGCCAGCAAAGTAGATGCGTCCCTCTGGCTGGAAGAGCTGCTCTGAATAGTCGACAAACTGGTAGGGTGTGAACTCAGCAAAGGCACCAAGGGTGATGGAGTCCAGAGACCAGCGCTTGACCACCGATGAGGGACACATGCTCCGTAACTCCTGCTTGGGTATGCGATGCACTGAAGACAGGTCATCCAGGATAACATCCACCACCTGGTCCTGCTTCATGGCGGTAAAGAAAAGGGAATCATCGTCCACAGTATAAGAGGCCAACAGAACACTCTTGCTGCTTGGGAGGCTGTGGCTGGGGTAGTGGATGTAGCGGGCTGGCCGGTCAGTAATGGAGACACCTCCTTGGATGCCGTCCCTTTCCCAGAAGCTCTCGTTGCAGACCAAAATCACCTTGGTGGCGCTGTTGTAATGCACAGAGTGCAGGGCATGGCTCTTGTCTGGGGACAGGAGAGGCTGGAAGGTGATAAGTCGTGTGGCCTTGGCTGAGGCCGAGATGATGACATAGTCGGCTGTGAGGTTCTGCAGTGCAGAGGTGGGCTCCCCGGTGCTGTACAGAATCTGGACCTCTGGCCCATCTCTCACCACCGTCTTCACCTCGGACCTCAAGTGGATGGTGCCAGGCTTCAGGCTGGCACTGAGGCCATTGGGGAGTTGGTCAAAGCCACCAGTGATCTCAGAAAGGCTGCTGGGGTGGAGAGGGGAGGATGGAATGGGAGGCACCAATAGATTGGAGTGTCCCATTGCCAACAACACTTCTGGTCTAAAAAAGGAAAACTTAGTACCCTGTACCCTATGTGAGACACTTCATAAACATCACCTTAATTAATATACAGCTGGGTGTCAGGGAGAGATTGTTACTTCATTTAGTAAGGTGGAAAACTGACATGCAGATCACTTGGGCAGGCTGGTGGGGAGAGGGGTCTTGCATTCAGCCATCCTGCCATTGAGAGTCTCAGACGTGTCCTACCAACCTGGGTTTGGAGTCTGGCTTCAGCCATAGCCCAAGCTGCATGAATCTGGGCAGAGTCCATTGAATCCCAGTGTCTTTGCCCGTTAAATGGCTCTTTTAACAGCATTTACCTTACAGGGATTCCCAA